GCTTTTCACCAATACTAGGTGATGGAGATCGACTTCTTTGTTCCTCTTGTTTCGTGACAGACGATGGGGATCGACTGCGCTCTTGGTTCTGCTCGACGATAAGTGATGCAGATCGACTTAGTTCTGGTTCTCCTTTCAAACTAGGTGATGGAGAACGACTCCTTTGTTGGTCTTGTTTCATGACAGGTGATGAAGATCGGCTTCTTTGTTGTTCGTAATGGGTAACAGGTGATGGTGATCGAATCTGTTCTTGGGTTTCTTCAATAACATATGTAGATTGATTCAATTCTGGCTTTTCACCAATACTAGGTGATGGAGATCGACTTCTTTGTTCCTCTAGTTTTATAGCAGGCGATGAGGATCGACTGCGCTCTCGATCTTCTTCAATGACGGGTGATGCAGATCGATTTAATTCTGGTTCTCTTTCGATACTAGGTGATGGAGATCGGCTTCTTTGTTGATCATGTGGAGTAATAGGCGATAGCGATCGACTCCGTGCTGAATTTTGTTCTATGATAGGTGATTCAGATTGATTTAGTTCTGATTCTCGTTTAATACTAGGTGATGGCGAGCGACTACGTTGTTCTTCTGGTTTTCTAATAGGCGATGGAGATCGGCTGCGTTCTTTGCTTTGTTCAATGAAAGGGGATACAGATTGATTTGGTTGTTGTTCTAGTTCAATACTAAGCGATGGAGAGCGACTCCTTTGTTCCTTATCTTTGATGATAGGCGATGAAGATCGACTTCTTACTTGATTTTGTTCAACGACAGGTGATGTTGATCGATCTGGTTCTTGTTCTAGTTTAATACTAGGTGATGGAGATCGTCTCCTTTGTTCTTTTTGTTCGATGGTAGGCGAAGGGGACCGACTTCTTTTATTGTCTTGTTCGATAAGAGATGATGCAGCTCGACTTCGCATTTGTTCTCCTTCAATATTCGGTGATGGAGATCGACTTCGTTGAAGCTTCTCTTCAACACTAGATAGTGCAGTAGTAGTTTCATGAGAATCAAATTTGATATCACCTGTCTCAAATGTGGGTGATTGGTCTGCTTCAGTAGATCCTAGATTTTCTGCTAGCGGGAAAGTTGATTCAAGTGTTTCCTGGATAGAAGACTTTCGTTGACCATTTTCTGTAGGCAGTGAGATATTTTGTTGCTCAAGGTCATTGGTATTTACATTTGATGTCGATACCGATATAGGTAATTCATGTGTTAATGAACTTTCTGGTAATCCTTCCTTTGAAATATTAACGTCATCGATTTGTTCTGTATCAAACGATAATGAATTGAGTGGCTCTTGATTGGTAGTTGACATTTCAGAAGTTTCAAGTGTTGTAGGCGATATTGGTCTTGATTGAATGGGTGATTTTGAGGTTCGTTCACCAGATGATAAAGGTGGCTGTTCGAGTTGTTCGTCCTGTTGATGAGATTCATTTGCAATGGAACTTGATGAGAGAGATGGACTAAGAGATTTTATTTCACTATTTCGACGACTTGAATTTAGAGTTTGTTTCAAGTCATGTTGTTGCTCTGTCTTGTTATCGGTAGATGAAATATCATCAAGAGTTGATGTAAATATCTCGTTTTGTGTTCCCGTTGGAGATATTTGTTGGCTATTTTCAAGATTTGAACCAGTTGATAGTGAAAATGAGTTATGTTCTATTGATTCCGATCGATCAGATAATTTATTGTCATTATTCATAGCAGGCGAAGATGATCCTGACTGATTTGTCAATAAGAGATTATTGTCATTTTCTGTAGATGCGAGTTCATTGGATTGCGATGGAGAGATAGGTCTTGACTGGATAGCGGAAAATGAATGGTCCGTAGTTGATTCACTATTTTCAGAATGAGAAACATCTTTTGCTGCAATTTGTGCAACATCCAGTTTGTTTTCAGTTAGAGGTGATAATAGAGAAGGAGAACTAAGAGTTTTTGTATTGGAATTATGCGTAAAATTAGAATTAGAATCGTGTTGAGATTTTAATTGATCTTCATTTATAACTGATTCATGTTCAGTTGTTGGAGTGTCATTCGATTGCTTTTCATTATGATTGACAGGTACAGGTTCAATGTTAGGTATTGATGATTGTTTATTTTCATTAGTATCAAATGTTTTTATAGTTTCATTATCTTCCAACGGTGTTCGAACAACTGTTGGTGAAGTCGAAGTACTATCACCTTTACTTTGTTGTTCAACTAGAGGTGATAGAAGTCTAGGTGGAGATTCCGTATTTAATGGGGAAGCAAACGGTTTATGTGATGTAGGTGTTCTTGTACGACCCGGTGGCGGTGTTACAGCAAATGTTAGAGGATGCTGTTGTAATCGTTTTGATGAAGGTGTTGTTGGAGATTGACTTGCTGGAATAAGATTAGAGGATATGGTTGGATTTTTTTATCAGATTTTTCCTTTCTTTCTTTCTTTTTATCTCTATACTCTTTTTTTTATCGATTCTTATGAGATGATATGAATCATCCGGGAAAAAAATAAACTGCTTACTTTGTCTTTGTGCACCAGGTGTAGTACCACCTGTTGGAGTTACTGCACCGCCTGATTTTCTTGTGAGTAGACTGTTGAAAAAATTGGCTAATGCGCCTTCGTTCGCCGCCGTATTTGCACCACCGGGTGTTGTACTCTGAATAAAATAATATTTTTATTCTTAATAAAACGAAAAAGGAAAACGTTAAGAAAATATAATCATACTGGTTGATTTCGTGATCGTCCAGCTACAGATGGTGTTTGTGAACCAATACCACCACTTACACCTGATGTTCGTGTATGTACTGGTGTTGCTGTTTCATCCTATTAACAAATATAAAATTAAATGATATAATAGTTTTTCAAAAAAAAACTCTTACTGCTCTTCCAGGTGATGCAGCTCGATTAAGTGTTAATTGAAGTTTTGCTAAAAATTCTTGATCATCTTCAGCAGCAATAATTTCATTATCACGTTGTAATGGTCGTCGAACAATAGGTTTAACAAAAACATCTGAATAATTATCTGTTGGTTTAAGTCGATGAAGATTTTCTAATAGAATATCCGCTTTTTTTGGATTATCCCAACCAGCTGGAATAAAAATTGAATCACGTTCAACAATAGCAGCTGTTGATGTAAATGGATAACCATAACATTTGTATACAATATATTTATATAATTTATCTATATTTTTTTTCTCTTTAATAGATGTATAAAACAATGCGGCACCATCTAAATAAATAGAAAAATTCTATTGTTTAACAAAAGAAAAATATGTTTTTTTTTCTTATCTTACATTCTAAACAAAATTTTCTTAAATGATACTGCATAAAATCAAAATATTCATCTTTATAATCATTTTCTTTTTCTAATGTTGGCATAACATCACATTTTGTTATAACAACAATAACTGGTATACCAAGTGATTTTGTTAAAACACCATCAGGAAGTGGTAATACAACTTGTTCATCACCATTTATTGTTGGACTTAATGTTGCTGTTGATGCAAGTGAAACAGATGAAATAGAATTTGGTACACGACTACCACCTGCTCCACTTTTAAGCGTTGCTGTTGATGTCGATGATGTTAACATGATAGATGTATCATTTGGTTCGACATAATGTTGAAATTCAGATTGAAGACGATCACGCATATCACGTAAACGTATTGGATCAATTTTTAATCGATCAATATGTTCTTCGAGAAGTGCTGTCCATTTCTTTAATGTTGATAATAATAACCATGGATGAGTCATACTTGCAACAAGAATAAGAAGTGTATTATCTAATGTATCTGATTTAATAGCAAATTTTAATAATGGAGCTGAACATGCTACATCACCATCAAGAATCCATACACCTAGTTTCGGAGTATCTAATAGATTGAAAAAAAGGAAATTAAATTTTAATTTCTAAAGCAAAACATTTAATAATACCATCTCGATCATCATCTTTAACATCAATATAATGATATTCAAGACCAGCACCTCTTTTTGGATCATCATTTCCTTGTAATTTTGCTACTAATGTTGTTCGACCACTTTCATTATCACCTAAAACGACTAAAGTCTTTGTTGCTGGTGCTGTTTTTGTTGATGATTTAACGTCGCGTAATATGGAAGCCCTTTTTATAAATCAATTAAAAGAAATATTTCGAATTTAACATAATTAATAAGATTAATTTACCAAATACTTGGCTTTTCATTAGTATCATTTCCATTCTCTAAAGATGAACGAGATTCGTCAATAGTATCCTGCTTCGTCATTGTATAAGTCTTGTTTCTATAATGAAAACAGAAAAAAAACACATTGTTATAAGTAACAGCAGTTATATTTTTTCATCAAGGTCCGAAAATACGAAAAAAAGAGGAGAGACGAAAATGAGAATAAAAGCTGGTGCATTCAATGGTTTATTTTTGACTTACGGATGTTACAATAAACGATGATGGATGGATAAATTGTAAAGAGAAAAATGCGAGCACATTTGGGAATGTTACTAACGGTTAAAATCATTTACCAATAGAAATATCAAATAAAATCCTCCGTTTCTAAGACAATTCACTTATGATGATTCGATGAAAAAATATCCAATGAAATTGTTTTACAAGTTAACTATCTATATATGATATTTTATTGTAAAAAAAATCAAAGGCACATTAAAAAAAAGAACGAGATTTTTTAAAATTGTCAATTGTTTTTTCTTTATAATGAACCAATATTCAGTAGACTTTTATCCATAAAACGACGACGAACAAAACAAAGCCACCACTAGAACAAAAGTTTGAATAAACTGATTTATAAATAAATCATTATTAGTACTTTCGATGGTTTATCGGTTTCAGAGTCCATCACTCGATCAACCATACGATCACTACATTCTTTACGTAATTGTTCGAGATATTGTTTCATTCTATCTAGGAAGGATAATTATTGTATAATTTAACCGATATATAATAATTAATTACTAACCAACTTCATCAGGAGCTGGTTTAACAAACATTCCATTGAGTGGAAAATCTGCATCACCTGGAATTGGAAATGTTGATATAGCTAATGATGATAATTCTTTTTGTGCTTGAATACGTGATTGACACTAGAATATATTCATAATTATTATTGAATCAAAACGAAGTAATAATTGTACCTTCTGAAGACGTCGTAAACATTCAGTTATATACAATGTTAAATAGATTAATGTTCTATCAGCATCATGCTTTAATAAATTATTGAATAGATCGATTTAAAATATATTTTTTAAACTTACTTTAATATCATAATTACGAAAGAAAATATTAGCTCGAAAAAATTTTATTGCTTCATCAATTATATCTTCATTTTCTGTAGCTAAAAAGAAAATATAATAAATTTTTAAAAATCTACGACGATACTAAAAATTTTCAGAACCGTTTCTATCGCTTCGAGCTCTCAATATATTGAAAATATAGAATGTGACAAAAAACCAGAATACAACTGGGGTTTTTGTAACTCATGATTAAGTTTCTATTACAAAGTCACTCTTAATATATGTCTCGATCAAACTTTGTATAATATTTTATTGATGAATTCATTAGGAAAAGACTAATAATAAGATCTACTAACAATCCACTAATTCGGAAGATATTCTATCGATGTTTTTCTAATACTAATATCTATTTGATTATCTTGTCTTTTGATAGACAAGCTTACATGTTTCGGTAGGAGCTGGACCACTATAACGTGTTCGAATAGGTAATAATGCCATATTTCCTAGACGAAATTTGCTATTAGCAAATGAAGAATGATAAGCCTTGAATAAAATAAATAAATTTTAATAAAACTAATTTGCACATTTGAATTTTTACCATTATCTGTTGAAAAGAAAATCTAAAAAGAAAATTATGAGCCATTTTTCCTACTAAAACAAAACCGATCTCATCAGATAAAATAATATAATGAATAAAATAAAAACATAACCGAGAGAGAGAAAAAAAACAATCCAACGTGAAAGAAAAACATATTCATACACAAATGACAATGTGTAATTGCAAATAATGAAATAGATAATTTCCAAAAATAAAAACAAGATTAAATTTGTGAAATTTTATCAGTAGATATAGTTGATGTTGGAAGCGCCGATTGATTCATAAGATTTGTATCTCGTTCATTATTTGATGATATTGAAGTGACTGTATTTAATTGTTGATCAGTTGAATTATATTCATTAGTATTAGATTTTATTATAGGTTGTTGAAGATTATCAGTTGATTCCTGATCAACATATTGAATTAATAATTCAGCAAATGACTGAAATAAAAGAAAATGATAATCTCAAAAGAAAATGTTTTTAAACTGACTTTATCGGGATGATAAACTCGAATATCTGATTTTGATTTGGATGGATTTGTACCAAGCCAACCAGTTAACCAACTAGTACTTGTATTAATATTATTATAATTATTTGTCATAGCATTCATAGCTTTGTCATATTCATCTTGTGTAAATCCAACTAATGCACTTAAAATTGGAATAACTTCTTGTTGTTTATCAAATGGTGTATGAAAATATGATAAAAGAATATTTTTTACAATTTGTTTTTCAATACGTGTATTATTTGTTGTTTGAACATTTTCATTATAATCAATACTTTGTTTAGTTTTAGAATCAATTTCATCTTGAAGTTTATTTATTAATAAATCTTTTGTTTTCATTTCATCATTTAACTGATATATAGATGATTGAGCTTGATTATATTCTTCTAAACGTTGACGAATTTCATTATTTTCATTTGTTAAACGAGCTGATACGGATATTTGTTCTTGATATTGACGTTGATGTTCATTGATATATTGTTCATATTCTAAATAGAAAAACACAATAAATATATAGTGTTCGTATTTAATAATATTTGAGAACGATTAGAAAATATAGCTTAATCTGTAGGGATGTACCCAGACCCGAGCCTCTCGAACTCCGGGCTTGGCAGGTTCGGGGCTTGGTTAGGGCTCTGATGTCATGAATTGATGTGGGAGTGGGTGAGTGTGGGTGAAAATGTGGGTGGAAGTGAAAAGGATAGTACCCGCACTCACCACACCTACACTTAATCTCGATTTTACTTCGTGTATTTCTCTAACAACTGACATTTATTTTCTAATGTAATTCTATTAAATACCTTGTTGAAATTGTTTTTGAGTATTTTCTAAATTTTGTGAATATTTTATCTGTTCTTGTAATTGAGTATTTAAATTACTATTAAATTCTTTGAGTTTATTATATTCTTCTTTTAATAATTCTAATTCTGTAACTAATATTTGTTGAGATTGTTCACCATCAACATTAAGTTCAGTTTGTAATCGATTTGAATCATTTAATTGTTGAAGCTGATTTCTTAATGTCTGTTCTACTTGTTGTAAATATTCTATATTTTTAATTAATTTTTGTTCACTTTCTTCATATTTTAAAAGCTAAAATATGAAAATAATCTTTTATTAGATAACAAAAAAAGCAAAGAATTTCAACCTTTTCTCGATTTAATTCCATTTCATTTTCTAATTGTTTTTTTTCCACAACAGCTAAATCTCGTTCATGTGAAATACGTTTTAAATCAATTTGTATTTGTTCAAATAATTGTTGATTTGATTTAAATTTAAAATCATTTTCTTCTAAAATTTTTATCTTTGATTCTAATTCTAATTGTTTATTAATAAATTGTTTTTCATTAATAATTAATTGTTGTAATTGTATATCACGTTCATTCAATGTTGAATTTAATACATCAATATCATCAGATTTTTTCTTTTGATGATATAATAAATTTTGATAAGTATTTAATTCATTTTGACATTGTAAATATGCTTCATTTTTTTGTTGAATTAATGATTGAAGAGAATCATAATTAATTTGAAGTTGACTATGTTTTGTATTAAGTTCATTATAAAGACTAATAATACGTGTATATTCATTATAATATGATAATGATTCCTCATGTTGACGTTTAGATAATTCAAGTAATTCATCATAATCTATACGAAGTTTTTCATATTGTTCTTGACTAACTATTTGTTCCATCTAAATGAATAGAGATTTTTTAGATGCACTTATATCATAATCTGTCACAAAAGAATCTCAAATTTTATCAATAACTATGTATTCTATATTCGAAAGATGTGAATTGCCAAAAGAACGGATTGGGAATGAAAATGCCCAATCAGTGTATCTATAAATTATTTTAAACACAATAATAAATGTTTGAAAATGGCTTGCAATTCATACAATACAATTTTGTAACCGGTCCGGAAAGGACCGGTGCAGTTTTTCCCCGATCAGCTACAACTCTGCAGTATAACATCAAGTCATGACACATATGTATCAATGCATCGATATGAAAAACGAATATTTATAACTGATGATCGATAGAATTTTTTAGTTCTGTTTCAAACATACTCCTTCTCGATAATTCCAAATCTTTAGAGAACGAATGTCGTATTGAAATATTTTATTTTTCTATAAAAATATTTGTGAGACAATGACTTACATTTTGTCCTCTTGGTGACATATCTTTTGTTAATAATCCTGGTGATTTTTCTTTTTCTGGTGATGTTTGTTTAGGTAAAATTTGAATCATAGCTTGTTGTTCTTGTCGATCACGTTCAAATTCAGCAAGTTTTTCAATAAAATACATTTTTTCTTTTTTTAAAGATGAATTTTCTCTTAATTTTTCATCAAGTATATTTCGTATATCATTTAATTCAATTTGTTTAATTTCTTTATCAACTTCCATTTGTTGTAAATTTGAACGTAATATTTCTAAATTCTTTCTTAAATCTTCACGTGTTTTATCTGCTTGTTGTAAGAAAACTAATTCTTGTTCTTTTTCATTTAGTAAAGATGAAAGAAGTTCATTTTGTGCAATTAATTGTTGTTTTTCACCTGGTGTAATTGATGCTAGTGATTGTCTTGATGGTGCACGTTGACTAAATTCAAGAATTTCTTCTAATTCATCTTCATCACTTTCATAAGATTTATGTTTATTAAATAATGATTGTTCTTCATGTAATTGTGTTAATTTATCTGTTGTTAATTCTAAATGTGTTCGAAGTTTTTCAAGTTCATCTTGTTTTTCAATAAGAATTTGTTTTAAAGAATCAAGTTCTTCTTGTATAATAGAAAATGTACCGAAATATGTTGAAAACTGTTCAAATAAATTTGTAAATCGATTAATTAATGATAATTGTGTATTATCTGACAATGAAAATTCACCAGGTAAAAGAGTAACGAATTGATCATAGATAGAATTTAACTGAAGTAATTCTTGTTTATTTTGAATAAATAAAGATTCATGTTCAAATGTTTGTCGAGAAGGAGAAATATCTCGAATATGTGATGAAGAAGGAATCATAGGTGGTGAACCAGGTGTTATAGCAGTTGTCTAAAGTATATAAAAACATTTGTCAATACAATTACTATAGGAACTTCTGTTATCAATAGGAAAAATATCTTCGATAGATGAATGTCATGAATCGATCTTTTTCTAGTAGATCATAATTTATTGAATTAAAAGAAAATGATAAAGCTCTGTATAACGTTTTGATGAGTTAATTTAAAAGAAAAATTATTCTCGAAGTTGAACAGCTGTCGTAGAATAGCCCAGTATAAATTCAGTAACGTATCATAAACTATTTGTTTAGAGACACTTATGTACTATATAATTTAACAGCTACATACAATCATAAAGATATATTTAATTATTACAATTTTTATGATAGTAATGAAGAAAGAAAAATTAAATTTATTTTCTATGTATATGGCATAGTTGTTTGTTTACGATATCAATGATTTTCTTATAATTAGTGCATGATTATAAATCATTGATTGAGATCAAATTCAGGAGAGTTTAATGTAAGCATAAACTCTTAGTCATAAATACTTAAAGTGGATGTGTTTTATTAGACTTTTTTGTGCATCTTTCATTTCATAATTATCTATTTTTGTGGTTTATAAATCTACGTAATGAATTTCACCTTTAAGAATATGTCTGTCACGGTCAGTGACGTTTCTATCTAAGTATTTGTCACGGTCTATTGATGAAAATGAATCCAATTTTTACCTTTACACTACAATAGTTCGTTTAATTGATGTTTTATACAATAATATATTCTGATATTCAGAAAGTTGTCAAGATTATCATTAATGATTAGAAAACTTCATATATTCAAATACTCTAGATCTAATCTGACTTGATATCTATATTTAAATTTAAAAAAAAACGACTTCGCTTGCAGTACTTTCAATATTGAACTCACTTGAAAAGTTTCGATTTGTCTATCACGTGATTGTAACTGTTGCCGAAGTTCATTTAATTCATTACTCAAATCGACTTTATCATTTTCTAATGTTTGAACTTCTTCATTGAGTTCAATTAATTGTCGTTCAAACATTTCTCGAAGATTTATTTCTTTCATACGATTTTCTTGTTCCTATCAAAGAAAAATTAGATAATAACGATCATTTTGAAATAAAAAATCTATTTCTTACCTCCATTTCATTTTTCATATGATTATCTTTGAATTTTTGAAGAATTTCTCGTTCATTTCTCTACATATAAAAAATTTACATATAGAAAGAAAAATGAATAATTTATATTTTCAAACTTCAGTTTCAATCTGTTTTTCTTGAGATTGAATTTCATCTCGGAGAATCTTTTTTTCTTGTTCAAAATTTTCTTTTAAATTTGTTTCAATTTGTAAAATTTTTTCTTCTGATTCTAGACGAGTTTCTTCAAGACGTTGAAATATTGTATCATAACGTTTTTTTTCTTCAATAAGAAGACGATGCATATCTTCACCATTACTAGCTAAATAATAAATTATTATTATATTTAAATAAGAATATAAATCAATAAATACTTGGTTGTTTTTTCTTCGTTGAACGTAATTGATCGAGTTCATCTTGTAATTGAGATATCGTTTCTTCATATTCATCAAGACGTTCCAATGCTAATTGATTATTTTTTTGTTGTAATTGTATACGTTGTATATCATTTTCTAATTGTCTATTACGTGATGTTACTAAATCAATAGTTGATTGTAAATTTGAAGATTCAGTATTTTTCGATGAATTATTATCTAAAAAATCATAAATTATATAAACTAAAGATAATTATCGAATAACAAACCTTGATAATCTCCATTCCAATCTTCGAGTTCTTTGATTGTTTTTTTCAATATACTAATTTCATCTTTCAATTGAGTATTTTCATCTTTTAAAGTTTGCATTTTTAATTCAACATCATGGCTATAGTTTTGAGTTTCGTTGGATGGACTTGTTTTGCTCGTCATTTTTCATATAGTAATATGACGAACAACTGGAATAATTTAGTTTAAAAGATAGTAAAATAGTAATTAGTAAAATATATAGTAATAATGATATGATTCATATGATAATATAAGAGGATAGAAGAATTCTCCAGTGATTGATATAAGTTACTCAGATGTCGCTGTATTTTTATCAAAATTAATTTCAAAAATTTATATATACTACTCTTATTAGTATTTCTTTAGTTGACTTGTAATACTAAAGTATTTTGTACCGAAATTATGTCTTTGCCTGAAGATTTCTCCAAAGTTCAACATGACTAGAAAAAGTTTCATGTTTTTATTAATTGTTCTCAATCATCGAGTATCTGTAACAATATTTAGTAGTTTCATTATCACAAAATATATAAAATTAAATTATAACAGACTTATTAGTAATCATAGAGACGAAAAATCATAATCTAATAGATTTTTTACATTTAAATAACATTTTAGAGATTTGCTATATTTTTAAATAAATCAATATCATTATCAACTAAAAGATTACGGATGAATATAAGTGATTTCATAATTCTATTCATATTCTTATAAGAGCATAATAATAAAACTTATTTTGCTCCTTTTTTTTCGTGGACAGAACCCCACCCACTCTCAGTAATTCCTATAATTAAATGTACTATTATTTACTTTGATTCATTTACTGAATAATTTTTATTAGCGAATTATAGTTTAAAAATATAATAATTTCAGTAATCTTTTATTTTTCAAACTCAATATAAGATGGTTCTGGTATAATACAAATCAGAGCTTGACAACAAAAATATAGAAAAGATTGAAGAAGGTTTTTATTTCGAAACATAAGAACTATTATTAAACAATATTTTTCAATATAAATGTTAGCCACATATTAACATAAGCGATATCCATAGCAGGAATGTTCTGTTGAGAGACAATTGTATAGAATTTTTCGCAAGAGAGAACAGAATATTTCACAAAGCAACTATCCATTGCAAATTCGTTGAGTGATTCTAGTGAACGACCATGTAGCGTTTGTTGTACCAATCGAGTCTTCCATTCATCAAAGGGTACACCCACCATCTTGATACTAAGATGATTGGCACTTGTGATAACATTTTGAAAAGGCAGTCCGCCATGAGGATGTATAACATGATAAACATTTCCATAAACGTCAGGTTGCATGAGACTTAAATGAGCGATACTTTCGGCAGCAAAATTAATCGGTAATGTATTGAGTTTTGTGTCGAATGCTCCAGTGGGATAGCAACCTGTCTTCAAGCTAGTAGCGACTATAATAGTATTTATATCCAATGGATTACATGAGCCTGTTTTGCTATCACTACACATTGAACCCAATCGATAGATAGCAACTGGAAGACCAGCACGATTGGCTTTAGCCATAAGTTTCTCTGCTACCCATTTACTTTGTGCATAACCATTAGTTAGATCATCAGGTGGAATCTCATCAATATGTACTTCATGTACGATACCTGGAGGTAGAACACTAATAGTTGAAATATATTGCACAGGAATACAACAAGATGTATGAGTAGCAAGACGAATAATCTCACGAGTACCACAAACATTCGATCCATATAATTGACTATAAGGAAGCACAAAATTCACCGTAGCACCACAACAAAAAATAATATCAATCTGATTCGCAAGTGTATCGTACGTTTTATCGTCAAGTCCGAATTTGATCTGAGCAAGATCACCACGAAGTGGTATGATGCGTTCTTGAAAATTATCTTGCCATAAATGAAGAAAAAGTAAATTTTCTCGAATTCGATTCATGGGATCCATAGATGATTGACAACGTACAAGACAAATAAACTTACAGTCAGTTGGATACTTTTGTAACATTTCGAATAACAAGAAAGCTCCAACGAATCCAGTCGCACCGGTAATAAAAACCATCGATGGAGAACTATTTACTTTTCTTGGTTTCCCAATTATACTTTCAAGTTCAAGTTCAGTATCAAGTAAAAGTCGAGTACTAATCTTTTCTTCAAGTGCAGAAGACGAACTTTGAGCGAGTTCTGTTAAACGTTTCAAATTCATTGTAGGTTCGAAAAGAATACTAACTGGCACTGTTACTCCAAGATCTTCGCGAATCATTCTTGACAAACGTACAGCAGTCAACGAATTGCCACCACCAATTAGAAAATTGACTTCATTGTCATCTGTTAATATTTCACCGGTAACAGTTTCGATAATTGTTTTTAATTGTTTCTCAATGTTAAACGTTTTCTTCAAACGATCGACATATTTTGCAGCTAACTTAGGACGACATGGCTTCATTGAAGAGGTTAGAAGTCCATTTTCAACTGTGAAAGGTTCAAAGTCAATGACTATTCTTGATGGAATTTCATGCTTTCGAAGTGACTCTTTTAATCCGATAGAATGTAATTCGCGCATAATTGTGTTATAAAATTTTGGATCAGAATCTAATAATTTCATATTGTCATTATTATTGGCAAATACCTGAGCACGATCTTTATTGGGTATGATAACAGCAGTAACATTATCTTCAAGAAGATCACCATGAATATATATTTGATCAATAAATGAACTTTGACTGAACACGCCTTGAAGATATTCTGGCGAGATAAATTGTCCTTGCGCAAGTTTGAAGAAACTTTTCTTACGATCAATAATGTGGATTTGAGGCGGTTGAGATGGTATTTGGCGTAATTCGACTATATCTCCAGTACGAAAGAATCCATCATCGGTCAGTGCCGCTCGAGTTTCTTCTGGATTATTCACATATCCTGAAAACATCTGAGGAGTTTTTGTTAAAAGTTCGCCTCGTGGAAATGGTTTATCGTCAGTTGTAAAGTCCATTTCAGGAACTGATTCAAGACGATAGACAACAGATGGATCTACAAAACTGTTAAATGATATACCACCACATTCTGTAATTCCATAGGCATCCTCAATTCGACATCGTCCAAAACATCGCTTTAAAAAATCAAGAACCATTGGACTGATTAATGCTCCAACGATAGCAATCGTTTCACATCTTAATGGAATTAATTTTGAAAATTCTTCAATAAGTTCTACTTCTTTTTGTTTGAATTCTTGTGGATTATCAGTTTCAATTAATGAAAGAGCTGTCTTGTATTCCGAATAAATTTTATTCCAAATACTTGGTGGAGCCGGAAACATCATTGGTCTAATAAGAGCTAATTCTTCCATCAGTCGAGATACATTTCCAGTAGAAAATCCTACTCGTCCTCCGCAAAGAAATGTCCAGAGTACGCTGTTTCGACCTCCATACCAAGACAGAGGTTGATAAGAGAAGATTATAGATTCACCTGTATGCGGTGATAGTCCTTCGGGAAAGATCGATCTAAGAGCACTATCAGAAATCATTACACCTTTTGGAGAACCCGAACTACCACTTGTATAGATAATAGTGAGACAATCAGTTGGTTGAGCTGTCGGATATGAATACGACCGAGAGGAGCCTATATTTTCGATGTCATTCATATAATGAACTGAGATTGACATAGATGTATCTGTAGCTAACTCAGACACTGTATCCATACAGATAATATGACGAAGAGATGGACATTCTGAGTGTAATTTGAGAAATTTTGGTAGCGTTTCTTTATCACAAACAACTACAGAGACTGCTGTATTATTAATAATAAAAGCTATATCACGATCACTTGTTAGATTATAGATTGGTACACTAATAATACAATGAAACATACATGCCCAATCGGTTATTATCCATTCAGGTCGATTTGATGAACAGATAGCAAGATAGCTACGTGGTTCAATCAGTTTCCGTAGCCCATAACCGAAATTGATTGCTCGATCACCTATACTTTTGTATGTTAGCCATGTATAAGAATTAGAATAATTTTCTGGATTGTCTTTATTAACATCACGTACACCCAGGCAATGTCGATCGCAATATATTTCCATCGCAGTGTAAATTTCAGCTCTCATACTTTTTTCATGACAAGTTCTATCTTCTCCACTACCAAATGCTAATTCGGGAACGAGTATATGAGGATGTGGTGGATTCATATTCGTCGTACATTCTTCACATTGATCATAATTACCACAGACGGTACAATTATAACGATATGTACCATGATCAAATGTACGATGGCATACATCACAGTAGAAAAAACTTGGTTTCTTCACAGGATTCAGCATAGATTATTAATCTAAAAAATTAATTCTCAAAACTGAAAAAAAGAAATATAATACATTTAACTCCTTATGACAATTATGAATAAAGCATACACATTTCAGTATTTCTGCTCTTTTTCTATGACGCGATTGTAGCGTTGTAATTCACACATTTACTATTACTCACTAAAATATTGTATTTAATGATTCATCTTTAATAAAGGAAACGATTATTCATATATATCCAATTATATGGAGTAAATTAAAACGAACATACTTGATAATTTTCTTTTGATTTTAAAATTTTTTATCATCATATTTACCATTTAATACTAATAGAAAATATATTTTTGCCTTCGATAAATATAAAACACATGCAACGTAGTATAATTGCACAATCACAACAATTATTGTGCTAAGATACATATAGACATTAAAATCTTTTTTTTTCTCTTCACACGCCATCTATCGATCTTTATGTCCAAAGCACCTTTACCTTTCTTTTGGTTGATAACATAGATATATGGTTACGAACGGTTATATTTTTATCTATTAACAATCTCTTTGAATTCATCAGGTTGTCATAAATGTTTCAATAGATTTTCTATACTAGTGAAATATTTACATACCTGATATTTATTAATTAAATATTGTCACATGTGCAATCATAAATCATGAATTTTGTGTTTGAATCATTTCTATTAACAGCTATTTAGAATTACATTTTCAGATCATTTTTAACTAGAGAATATAGGTACATGTTTCTGAATAAGAAAGACAGTAGGGTAAAAATTGTTCAAACAATACTATTTGTATAAAATATTACTTTTAATGAGTTTATACCAGAGTAATAAACAAATTCTGAAAAGATTTTTAAAATTATTCTTTAATAATACCTATGTATTCCTGTTTGAAACATCCGGTAACGACACAAATGTTTTCCTTACACCAAAGAATACGTATTTACATCGTTGAATCTGGTTTCAATGCGATTAGTTACATATTAACAATAAAATAGATAATATGAAATTTATCGACCGTTAAAAAGATGGATGTGAATGTGGATGTGGGTGTTGGGCAGATGCCTCTTTTCTTTACTAATATCCAAGCTCACACTCAAATCTAATCATATCAATGTTGTATTGTTCACGTGTATTAGCTATTCCCATGGTCGACTCAAAACACTAGCTCGCGTAAATTAATATACGGATTAATAGTTAATCCTGACGAAGTGTGAAAGTACTACATCAGTATATTGAATAATATTATCGTTGAATTAAATACTAATTAGAGCGGATTCAAAGACATTTTATTATCAGTTTAAATAGATATCAGTTAATCCAGATTACAGTCTATTTTTATTCTGAACATATCATCTTGAGGGTGTCGGTGTGGGTGTACAGATGAGAATAGCTCAAATACCCACGCCCACATCCTCAAAAAGATGAGAATTACATTCCCTAGTTTTTTTTAACGTTTTTTTGCAGTATATAAAAGTAGATTGAAAATAAAATAAGGAAACAAAAAATATCCATAATAGCAGGGTTTTTTTTCTGGACATCTAGAAAAACGAACGTACAAGGAGTAAATAAATATACAAACAACGAAGAAAGTAGTTTTGATTGATTTATTTTAGTACACCGAGATAAGAGATTATATTGAAATCATTCCAAACTTGTTAATAGTCTCATTCATATTAGTGATCATCTAGATAGGAAAATCAACTAATGTTTCTTGGTCGGGATCATTTAAGAACTTTAATGGTCCAAGTACAACGGAAGATCTATTTCTTGCTTTAGCTCGTAACCAAAATGGATATACGAAACCCAAACAATATAAAATAGGAAAAATGAATACGAAATATGGTACAATATGACGATAGTATATTTCCATTATGGTAACATAGGGAATAACTGATAGAGTACAAACAACAAACCATATTGGTCCCATGATTTTTGACCATTGAAAAGCATTCCTTTCACGTATATAGAGATAGAAGACATAAATAGTATGAAGAATACAATACAAGTAAAGAGATATAAATAGTCCAACTAAAATGATCGCGTCCGAATCAGCATGACCACTAATTTTGTGTTCACTGGCCATAATAAACACACCAACCAAGGGAATAGCCACAATGACATGAATAATATATACAATAATTCGATTAATAACTGATTGATTTTCTAATAGTGATCGAAATCGACCAATGATAATTACTAATATTTGAGGAAATAAGATAGTCACTCCAACAAATAAATTAGTGAAAATGCGATCGTGTCTTCTAGAAAATGTTTGTTGATCATCTAATTTAGCGTTTAAATAACATATCACTACGGTTATGACCACAGTCAGAGTAGCGGTGAATGGTAAAATCAGTAAAGATCGATCGAAAATTAATGCTGAAGTTTTTCCCATTTTCGAAATCACAATTACCTTATTTGTTTTGTTCGAGTCGGTTAATTTGTGTGTTATGTTGTATTTAATTTGACAAATAATGAGAGTCTATGTGCACAAATAATCGTACGTGATAAAATGAAATATTCTGATTTTGTTAAAACTAAATCGGTATAAAAAATCAACAATAATTGTGAAAGAGAAAAACATCCATCTCATGGAATGAGTCGAATAAACAGTGGATAAATAAAGTATGAGGAAGTCTAGAAGTGACATCTATAAAACATCGTGTTTGCACATTCTTTTCTTTCCTTCCTTTGAGAGAATTCTATATGGAAAGGATTACATGTTCAAGTTTTAATGCTTATTTTCATTGATTATGAAGTTGATACTATTTAAAAAAGCCTTCGTATGCATACATATTAAGGAAAAAAAGTTTTTTTTGACTTCATTTGTAAACTTTTTCATTACATCATAAATCAAGATGGCTTGGGTGGGTGTGGGTAAGAGAGAAGAGGATAGCTTCTACACCCACACTCACCCACACCCTCAAGATTATTTTTTATTATTCGATGAATGAGAGAATAATTGTTTAAGATATAATTAATTTTTATAGTTAAGCCAAATGTCTAAGTATGTGTTGTCATCCTTAAAAATATCTTCTTGAGAAGTAAATTCGTAAAGAAATGTCTTTTTTAATTTCGAACCAAGTTCTTGTAGCTTCTCATTTAAATCCTCCACAGACAGATGAAGATCTTCGGAACACTTAATTTTAATACAGGATAGTTTTGATAAATACTTTAATATAAACATCAAATCATTTGAATGCTGAACAGAACATTGAAGTTGTTCCAGATTAGAAAATGTTTCACAAAATTTGATTAGTTCATTTGAATCAATTGATGAAAGACCTTCTCTAGCGAAAATTAATAATTTTTTAATCAGTTTATTAAAATATGTGCATAGTTCATCGTTTGTAAGTGATGATATTAAACATTGCGGAGTTATACCGATTACTGATAAATTTGGTGTCTGTTTAAGTATTTGTAATAATATTAATGGTGATTCAATATGTACTAAATGGTTGATGTCTAAATATTTTATATTTGCTAAATTAACACTCATTTCAAGTAATTGTAGCGCTTGATTATTAAATACAACAGGTGCGAGACCATATCCAAATTTTAATTTTAATCTGAGTAATTTAATATTTGATAGATAATGAGGCATTTCTCGGTTCACTCGTTTTACACAAAAGTTCAAGTGTGTTATGTTGTCATGTAATTTTGATTTGTTTATTGATGCATCACAAATGATGCTTATATCTGATTCTAGTCTAATGTAATTTAAACAATAAGGAATAGTATAGATGACTGCAGATTTATCTCCATATTCGCATACAGTATACCACTGATGTTGTTTAAGCCAGAAATCAGCTTGAAATAGTTTAAACTGTTTCAAAACCTTATCTTGACATAAATCATAAAAACTAATCTCAAAAACAAATTTAAAAACCTTTAATTGAGGTATTAATAATGTAATCGTTTTTTCCCAAAGATCAGCATCAACTATGTCTATTTTGTTCTGTTCAGGTGAAAATATGCCGTGTTCAGTATAGGTAACAGAGAAAGCCAATATTTTCAAATTTGGCGTTTGTTTGAATATCAATTCATAAAGATCAGGTTGAAACCAATCTTTATTGTGTATAATTAACTGTCGTAAACAAACAGCTTGGTCATTAAGATAATCTAAGTGATTAAATCCATTGTAGTCATCATCAGATAATCTTTCAATTTTTAAATATTTCAACAGTGGTATACCTCGAAAAAATTCATATAATGTCTCTAACTCACAACTTTCAGACACTGTTAAATGTGTGATTGGGATTATTTTATCAATAAACATTGAATCATAATATAGCATTGATACTGTTAACATTTTTACTGTTGACTCCATAATCACTGTTTGTATATCTTCACTAAAGTAACATTTTCTAATAACAAGATGCTTCAGATTAGATAAAGATTCCAACATAGATTTCATTTCTTCACCATCGATAGAAACAATTTCAACCAAAGTTAATGATCGTAAATGAGAAAATTCGTTTAATTGAAACATTGATAAAAATGCTTGTGCTTGTCCACGTGTGCCTATTGTATCTGACAAATTTAATGAAACTATTTGATCTTTAATAGACGGATACAGTAACATTTGAGTACAGAATTGATTGAATACTTCACTTTTAACATTTTGAAAATTGGCATGTAATGGAATATTTCGAATTAACTGATTAAAGCGATTGTTTAATCCACTAAATGCATAATATATATCTATCCCATTCAGATATCCAAAAAATTCCAAAAGCGTCTCATTCGCTAAAAATTCAAATTTTGTCATGGTAGAGTTTTTAACAACAAAATGCGATGAATTGCAGTATACTTTTACTCTTCTATATATATAACAAAATTTCATTTGTATGTGTAATCTTTGTCATTATTTCAATGAGTCACATAGACAACAATAAATTGCAACATAATAAAAAAAATGTGTTTTCTTCCTAGTTAAAAGTAATATAAATCTTTCATGTTTCGTTGTTATCTATCCGAAACTTCCAACAAAAAAAAACTAAAAACTATAGTTTTGCCGGAGCAAAATTAAAATTTCATCAAAGATAAATTTATACAATCACTAGCAGTTTATATTGTAAAAAGTTATTCAACTTCAAATTATTAGATCTCAGCATTATTTTGAAATCAATCATCTAGAGGGTGCGGATGTGGGGATGTGAAGAAGGATCGATGACACGATGTCCACACTCACACTTGAAACTGTTGAATATAGAAAAGGAATTTATTTTTTATTAAAACTATTTGTCTACTTTATCGAAAAACTTATGACATATATTAAACAAAAGTAAAATTTAATGTTAATGAAACTATCGAATTTGTTATGACTTTGGTTCAGATGCAGGTCGAATATAATGCCAACAGTCTATGTATGAAGGATTGAAATCAAATGACCTAATATATATAAGCGATTGACATTTATTAACACTTCGAAATAATTCGTGCATTTGAGCAATCAATGGCAACTGACCATAAAATAATTGAAAAGGATAGTTTCGACGCAAATAAATATTCAGTTTTAGTTTCTTCAGACGAGGAATTCGACGACGAAGACAATCAGCTACTTGAGCAAAATCAACGATTTCATCGTGATTGCGGGAATGAGCAACAGTTAGATTAAAACTGATAAGATTTGGAAAATAAGAGAGAAAAATATCAAACTGACCATCATGAAACAAGAAATTGTCAGGTTGTCCGATTTCCAAACATTTCAAGAATCGATAACGAACATTACGTAATATACTTGACGGTAATTTATCGCAATAGAAGTGAAGGTGTTTTAATTTAGGACACATGGGCAACATCCTATGAAAGTCATTTCCGTTCTCGCTATGCATATGAAGATAGTGAAGAGTTTTTGCCGAAACTTTTGACGATGTGGAAAAGAATTCTTGACAATTTTTAATTATGCATTTTTTTAAATAAGGAAATGCACCCGTAAAGATAAATTCCGTAAGTTTAGTAGTACAACCCGATAAACCTAAATATTTCAGTGAAGGACATCGATCAGGATTAATAAATGCATTCAGTTCATCTTCTGATACAAGCGTCCACCATTGTAAATGTAATATATTAATATTCAATGAACGAAGATTGATTAAATTCAAGTATTGAAATTGATAAAGATGTAATTCGTTCATTCTATCAAAATGAATGGTTAGTGAAGTAAATGAATCAAAAAATGATAATGCAGGTTTTAAACAATATATTGAAATTTTTAAATTAGGCTGCTTTTTGAGAATCATATTCATGCGAATATTTAAATGAGCCATTGACGAATAAAGTTCTTCAGGTTTGAAATATTTAAATATTTCAAATAAAATTTCCACAGGTAAATCTTCCAATCGATATACATCAATTTCATCCATCTCTTCGTCTTTTCTTTTCGATGAATAGCAGAACAATGAACATTATCCACAATATATATATATATATATATATATGTGAAACAGTGCAAGGTCAACTTGCTATCGGATAATTCGCCGTCTAAACAATTCGTTGCAAATGCATATTGATGAATACACATCTCTTTCTTTTACTTGTAACTTGCTTATATATACTTAGGAAGAATATCTTTTTAGACATGGGAGTCGATCAATCCGTATGACTTAGTGAAAAAAATGTTAAATCTAATGTTCTCATGTAACTCGATACTAATGTAATAAACAGTGAGGTGGTAAGACTATAACATCAAGTAGTAAATTACTTCAAAATATTCAAAGATCTAGATATGTGTGTTCAACATATGACGTCGGTAATTGATAAAAATATTTTCCTGATCATGTGCCGTCCATTGGGTGAACAAATTGTCTCTAATATTCATTGAAAACATTAATGACGATCCATATATTTATTTCTTATTCAAACAAAATTTGTTGTCGACATCTATAATCATTTATTAGCAACTATAGTTTCATCACGCATGATGAAAACATTTCGTATAGTTATGAATTCATGTACAAAAGTCGCCAAGATGCTGAAAGAATTGACTATTTCATCTTATGACCATAATCATGCTAAAGAAAAACTTGTCAGTAAATGTTGTCGATAATAAGAGTGAAAATGAAACTAATAAATTTCAAAAAAATTACTCGAAAAAAATTCATCTATCGAATATTAAATAAAACATTGTTTTCAAAAGATATCAAAATATTATTTCATTAATGATCCACTTTCTTAAATTGTATTTGGTAAAAGATTTCTAGTTATGACTTATGAAGTTTAATTTTGATCTGATTACGTAAAGGTGTGAGTGTAAGGTGAGTGAAGATGATATTCTTCTGTTTACTCACACCCACATCCTCAAGGTATTCAGATATTTCACTTTTATTCAGTATTCTTTTATTATTTATTGCATTATTTTTCCAATAATGATTAACTTTTACAAATAAGTTTATGATTATATAATTTCCAATCCTTGGTTTGACATTCTTTTGAACAATAATAAGCTTGCTTACATTTACCACAAAACTTCGATGCACCTGCTTCGCAACAATATCGACAGATGTTTAATATCCATTCAGATTTACTTTGCATTACAATCGAAGAAATATCATCAACACGAATCGATGGTTTCATATCATTTGCTCCTATTCGTAAATATGGATTGATAATATGGATTTTTTTCCCAACAGTATACAATTTGCTAATCAAATATTCGCCTTCTTCTTCCAGAATTCCATAAATGAGCATTCGCTCACAATCAAAGTTTGCATCTTCGATGACCAGATGAATTGATGGTATCCATGATAATGTTTCTTCAATAATCGTTACAGAAAGTACACGGCCAGTATAAACATGATCTTTTCTTGAATTCATTTCTCGTAATGTAATTGGTTTTAAACCAATTAATAATTTGTCTGATTGTTGTTTAACTCGAGGTTTAACAGTAGTTGAAATAGTTTTATAGAATGGATTGTGTTTTTCATCTAATGTTGTTTTCTCCCATTGACGATGATTTTTAATCACTTCTATTCTATGAGAATCAGTCAGATGTTGTTTATGATTATTAATTGGATCTGATTCAGGGTTGCCAAATCAAAATTTTAGAAAACAGGAGTTTTCCAAGAGAATTTTCCTGCTAACTTAGTAGGAAGATCAGGAGGTTTTCTATTTCAAGTTGAGAAAACATTAGACAGTTTTCTCGTAGAAAACTCGAATGTTCGCTAACTAAAACACTTTTATCCCCTTCGTATCAAGCTGGTGATCAATAGTTTAAAACGAATGATATTATTTTCGCTTGAGTTTTATCACAAATAATGTTTTTTTTCTATACAGATTGGTCATGAGAAGATTTCTTTTAATTATATCTGTTATGTACTCTTGATCAGTTAATATTCTTATCTGTATTCTTTCCAATTTAATTTTTATTCTAATCCATCAGCCAAAATTCTTTTTCATTGTGAAGTTTAAACGAAAGTATTTATATGAATAAATAGAATGATAGAAAGATTCTTGCCAGAGTTTGAAAAAAGACAAGCATTCTTTATTTCTTACATTACTATATGAATCGTTTGCACGTATGTCTTCGCTTGTTTTTACAATGAGCGGTTTAAAGCATTAATATACTGTAAAAACACAAGATAAACTAATTTTTGACAACAGAAGTTGTTTTTCATTTTAGCTTTTTATGATTTATTAAATGAACATTTTATCGAAATGGCTATCACTTCTGGTTCTTTTTCACTGATGTCTTCACTTTTTTTTGTTGTAATATATACCTATTCATTCTTTTCATATTTGTAATTCATATCAGACTTTGACAACCAAATAGCAGTGCAAACAAACCTGTAACAACTCCCTAATAATAATGAAAATGGAACGCAGGCATCTTCCTAAGTTGTTCAAGACAGTGCTCTATTCTAAGCTAAGAAGAGTCAGACGTGAATTCCAAGAAATGTAAAAATCTTTCTAGATGAGAGACATCTTAACTGGTCATTAAAAATGTTGCCTATCGGACTCTTGTGTGAATGCAAAGATCTTGTTTTCCAGACAATAACATGCGCTTTTCTGATATCGCCAGTAAAACAAATACTTTATGTGCCGCTAGCTCCTGCAGCTAATGATTTTTTTCCAGAAAAATGAAATAAAAGCAAGTATTTTCTTATTCGTTACTATAATTATTAAGTACTGCAATAGTTCTCTTTTTTTTTTTTTAGGTCTCTTATTGATTCAAATTATCGCTAACCATCAAGTAGGAAAAAAACGAAACATCAGGAGAAATCAAAAGAAAATGTTGAAAATCCGTTCTTGAAAGCAAAAGATTTTGGATCAGGAGAAAAGTCCAAAAATCAGGAGTCCCCTGGTCAAATTAGGAGATTTGGCACGCCTGCTCTGCTTCTTCATTGAAATTCGAGTCAATCATATCAATAAATGGTTGTATAAATGCAATATTGTCTGATTTATAAGGCAAAAAGCATGGTAATTGTAGTTTTTCTGCCTGTTTGCCTTCTTTATAACAATCTTGGATCCAACGCATTCCAGCATCAGGCGCAAAATCTTTTAAACATTGAGCCATTTCATAATATGCTTCAGGAATTTTTCGATGGTCTTTTGGAGCAGTTTTAATAAATTTTTGATAGGCTGTAATTGCTTCAGTCATATCTCTTCCTACATGTCGTAATAGAACAGCTTTATGATACAATAGTTCATAATTTTCAGGTTCTATTTCAAGTCCAATGTTTATATTATATAGACCAGTATCAGACTGACGTCGAAAACCATGTACTGCACCACTTGTTAAGAAAAAATAGACCGATTTTGGATACTTCTGTTTACATAATTCAACAAACTCTTCAACTATTCCGTAGGAATTGATATTCAATGTTACATAACATACACGAACATCTTCATCGAGTTGCGAAACGATGAAATTTGATTCGTTCTTACATCGAAAAAGTACTCGTTCAATAATGTTGCTAACTTTTTTATGCATGTGACTTGGAATTTGACCTACAATTTGTTCAGTACGATAACATTGTGAAAGTTCATGGACAAATATATTTTCTTGTTCTTCTGTTAAAGTTTCACAAAATAAGAGTATATTTAGTGCTTGTACGAAATGTTCTAAAGCACGACAAATATTTTTAGCTGTTATTGAACCACGTTTGGCATATCCACATAACATTTCGTAATCTTTTAAATATAAATGTTCGGATGCCACCGATGGAGAAACTTTACTTTGAAATGACAACATGTAGTTAGCCGCTGTTTTCATTACTTTTAACACATCCGGTGCGTTTTTTTGACGTGCTTCCAATGTTTTTATAAACTTATCACGATCACGTTGAGCGATAATATTGCCTGATTTACATGCACGATCGTACCAAATTCTTGCCATTTCAAAATCATTTTTACTTAATCGCATCTCTGCTAAAGTCATCATAGCAACTGCATCGCCTCTTTTCGCTGCTAATTCATGTAATTCTTCAGCTTTTTCGAGATTTTTATCAACCGCAAGACCATCCAGATACATTACACCTAAATTATTAGCAGCCATTGCGCTACCATGATTAGTAGCACGTTGATACCAATAAACTGCTAATGAAAGATCCTTGCAAACACTAATACCTTCAAAATATCTTACTCCTAAAGCGTGTTCAGATTCAGCTACACCAATATTTGGCAGCCCTTTTATTATATGATGTTCTGGTGGTTGTGTCGCTGCTTTTTCAAGCCATTCGCGAGCCACATTATGATCTTTTTTTACACCTAGACCTTTATCAAATAATCGAGCTAAGTTATACATTCCTTCAGCATTGCCTGCATTTGCTGCTTTGGCAAAATATTTCGCAGCTTCTTCATAATCTTGTATAACATCAATATCCCCAAGTGCAAACTGATGCCCTTTCATTACGTCAGCTGCTGATGGATCTATTAGCTCGAGTAAACTCCTATTTTGTCTCACCATTTCTGGATCCAAGCCGAACTTTTCTTTTAGTTCATTTAAATTTTCAGGAATTGTTTTCCAGTTTGCTCGTGGATCGAGATATTCTTGTCGAGAATTTCGATGAACAATTATACGACTTTCATCTAATGCTTTTTGCGTTTCACTTTTATTCGGATCCAGTGCCAATGCTCTTTCAAATGAATTGATTGCCTTGTCATGATCAACTATGATAGCATAGACTTGTCCAACACGAAAATGAGCTTTCCACCATGTTACCCAAAGTTTTCTTGCTTGTTTAGCATCTTTTAGAGCACGATCTAATTCTTTTGTTATATCGTCATCTTCACAATTATCAACCGTGTATAAATGTTGTTTATATAATGATACTCGACTCGCAGCCATATTCGAAAAGAAAGTAGCTCGATCATGATTCGGTACACTTGGTAAAACTACTGCTTGGGTAAAGAATTTTATTGCTTCAGAATACTTTCCATCTTTATGAGCTTGTGTACCTAAGGAATTGAGACGTAATGCTTCGTTCTTATTTTCTTCATTTACTGTTTGTTCTGGTGATTCAAACACACTATCATCTTTTAGTTTATCTAATTCCGTATCAATGTCACCGAATGTTACAAGAATTGTTGACAACTTATTCCATAGCTGATTAAATTCTATATTACCAATAGATTTTGATGAATTATGAGCTAAATCATTTCTTAAATCTTTTAATTGTTTTATAAGCGAATCTTCTTGATCAAGTTTTTGTATTTCATTTGTATTCAATGTTTGCGGACGATCACTAAACAATAGAATAGCAGTAAAAGTCGATACATCCCATTCATTCGTATCTCCATTACCAACAGTTTTCTTTTGTGGAGGCGTCAAACTGAGTTTCTTATTTTTCGGAACAACATTTGTTAAATAATTATTTCCATGTACTGCTGAATCAATCCATATTTGACCATTGTTGAATAATGAGTAACGTGTTATAAACAAATTACGAAGTGCAAGACATGAACGTGAGATTAACAAATCTAATTTGAAATAATTACGTACTTCATTTGATATATTGGCCATAAAATATATTTTTTTATTCAATTATTTTGAATAATGTTAATGCACATTACAGACTTTTACTTTTTCTAATGTTTGAAACTATGTCGCTTTGCAAAGAAAAGAGAAAAATAAAGCACATAAGTAAATTGATTTTTATGCAGACATAATAACAACATTATTTTTTCTTTTCTTTCTCAACTGTTTTATTTTACCAAGGAGAGTCCCTTAGCAGACAAAAAAACGCATTTTTACGGGTGTTTTTTTATAGAAGAAACACACTTTCAACGTGTTTCAACATTTTTTCCCAGTTTAAAAATAGCATTCTTTTTTATCGATGTGAGGCTAGAAGAATGAGAAAAATAATCTTAGTGGTCACAAACAGATCAATAAAAGATCATTATGGGGATAGGAAATTGGATTATGAGTAGGGTTGCCAGATTCTATAGTTGAAAATCGGGAAAGATTTTTAGAGATCATTTTAATACATTAAACTTCAATTTTTCAATCAAAGTATCAATACCCTTGTTGTAACTCTCCACAAAATATATTTCAATGAAAAAAATATCAAAATCTAGTGAATTTAACAAATAATAAACCATAAACTATACATATACGTATCAGATAATACGTTGTTTTTTTATACAATATTTTTCACTAGAGTGAATAAGTTTTAGTAGATTCTGGACGTGTGTGAGTGAGAATGATTGTTTTATATTGATCTTTCCTTCACATGTAAACCTACACCCACACCATAATATTAAGACTGTATTTCTAAAGACAAAATGTAACGATGAATTATGATTTGAATTTGATATGAAGATATTGAATATCTATTCTGAGAATATTAATTGAAGTCGGATTGAATCAAATGAAAACAATTCAATCTTTCGCGGAAAAGGGTATTTGCTGATTGTTTTCAGTAAAAACAAGATTTATTAAAATGATATCGAAAGAGAAAGACAAAGAATAAATCATGTAGATATATAGAATAGATCATAAATAACTTTAATATAAGAAATTCAAATATTGTCAGTCATAAAACATGATATTTTTATTATACGTGAAGATAAATTGAGAATGTGGGTAACAATATCGGTAAGATAGTTAAAGTCACCCACATAGCCAATGGCCAAGGAAATTGCTCTTACAGGACTCTAATAGATTCCGCAACTTCAGCTAAGAGTTAAAAGATTCTAAAGTATAAAGTGACTACGATCAACTACAAAAAAAGACAACGGTACAAGAAAATATTGTGTCTATTTGTCACAAATTCGAGCCAGCTTAAGAGTGGGCGGGGTGAGTGTGGATGAGGAGAAGAGTATCATCCTCACCCACGCCCTAAGGATAAGAGTGAGGTTGTAGTTTGAAGGAGAGCTGATACCCAAACTCTCCTTCACACAAAGACTCTAAATATTATTTTTTTTCACGACAAGAACATCAATCAGTGAACAAGTAGAGAAAAAGAAGAACAAAAAGATAGCAATGAAAACTGGCTTGGTTCAGAGGGGAGGTAGATGTGGAAACATTATTGTTTTCGAAACATTGAAAGAGTAGCATATGTATATTTTGCCCCGTCTGACCAATTTCCATTGACAGATTATTTACTGTATTCATGTCACCATTAGATAAAACAATTACACCTACACTGTTCGTTGCATCTACCAGCATTAGATGTATCATACCTAACATTGATCCGCTATGGCCAAGGTATCGACGACCATTGCTCATAGTTTCCCAATATCAGCTAAGTCCAAATTGTGATGAAGGTGATTTTTGTGTAGAATTATTGTTTCCAATCAGACCATAGTCAGGTATGTTACCGCCACCAACTATTGTCCGCATTTCAGCAATTAATCGAGGACGAAGAATAGAAGATCCATTATTGAGAAACATACGGAGAAATACTGACAATGTATTCGCAGACATACGCAAAAGACCGGCAGGATACGCACCAAATCCGTAATTTGAAATGTGTAGCCAAGTGGGTAGATTGTCCTATTACAGAAAGAAAATTACGAAAATGAATATTATTCATCATAGAATTGCATCCTTACTGAAATTGGTGTAAAATTTAGTTGTAGCATTACTTGTTGCCATCTTTCAAGATCAGTTGTATCAAATACATATGCATAATGTTTAACGAAATCTTCTGTATTTTCAAAATCAGATAATCGTACTCCGACTTTACTGATATCAACACCCAAGGGCTTGAGAATTCTTTCTGTGACGTATTGAATATAGGACATATTTGCTACTCGTTCAACAACTCGGATTGATATATTTAAAACAAAATTCAGCTAATGTTTCATCGAATGCAGTATCATCTGGTTTATATTGCATGTTTTGTTCTTCAGGCTTGACAGCGATCGAAGCCGTATGTGAAAGTAATTTACATAAAGTAATTGAATGAGAAGGCTAACCTGGATGGTAGATACGTTGAACAGATTCGAATAAGTATCGATTGATATCTGTATCAAGATCAACAATTTCTTTTTCTACAAGTTGCATGACGGCTGTAGCAATAAATGTTTTCGAGATTGAAGCGAGAGGAAAGATTGATGTATCGATATCCATCGGATGTTTGGGTAATAAAAGATCGATAACCATACGCATGTTGATAAAGTATATCAGTCGCATTGACGACAATAATGGCTGCTCCTGGAATATGAACTCTCTCAAGAGACTCATTGATCAATTGCTGATTTGGACAATGCGATATATTGCCGACACCAAGATGAAAAGTTAGAAACAAAACATATAACAAGTTAACCATTATCGTTCGATACTTTTTACTCTCATATCGGAATATTGTTTTTTTTATCGAATACAAAAAAGATAAGACTTAAATCCTTTTATCGTCATAATCGCTATTTGTTTCTTTAATGCAGATTAATGTCAAATCAAAACTAAGACAATGTCAATATGAAGATAATAACGAGAAACAAGTCTTGAAGCAGAGGATGACTTGTATAAAATTAAATGCAATCATGTCCAATGAAAGACTGTCATTCGAATTTTAAAGAATTTTTCCATTGGTTAAGATATACTTGCTTTATAAAGGATTTAGATAAATAACGGTAAAAAAAAGTACATTTATGAAAGGTGTGGGTGTGAATATTCTTGTATTACAATCGCACCCAGATCCTCAAGAATACACAATGAAAAACAAAACAAAATAAAATATTAATCTCTAATAGTAAATTTTTCTATCAGATTAAAAGTTGAATCAACTACATACAAATCTCCATTTGTTTTATCAAGATAAATTCCTTCTGGATTAGATAATTCATCAGTTTTTTTCGAATAAGGAACCCAATGAAAATAAAACTGAATTCCAATAATATCAATTCCTGCTAAATTTGTTTTATTATTGATTAATTTAATTGTTTTATCTTGAGATATATAAAGATTTCCATGACAATCATATTCAATTCCATTGAGGGTGTAGGTGTTGAAGATGATATAATTGAAGAAACGGTTATGATATTGAGTATTCGATTGGCTACTCCAGAGGCAACAATGATAAGGAGAAAATGGTTGCTCTAGTGAAGTAACGTAGTAAATGATGTGTTTGTAGAAGAATACAGTGTAATGGAATTATGACATCACTCTTTCTGTGTATTATGACCAATACAATTTTAAACATGAAAAATTGTCCTTTAGAAAAACTGATTAAGTATGTGTCTTACTTGATAAATCCTAAATATTATTTAGTATAGCTTTGATAAAATAATCAGATGTACACCATAATATTTTCCTTATATATACTTGCGAATAAAAAGAAGCGTGTTAAAAGAAAATGAAGAGTGAAAACAAAACTCTTTTTTTTCTAAATAAATTATAAATAACAGAATGGAAAAATAATTCCTTCCAACATAAAATGATACGTGTTATATCATACACGAGCAAAAAAAAACAATGATTTTGAAATAATTATAATGAACAAAGAGTTGATTATATCGGGTACGAATAATATATCTTGAAATGGGATAACATTGTTTATCTGAAGATAAATTATATCATAAAAAATATTTTGAAAACTTGTCTTAATATTATGTTCTACAAGAAATCATTAAAAAGTATACCCTAATCATAGATTAATTACTAAAATGTAAACAAAATAGAATCATTATTCTTTCATCATATTTTAAAAAAATCACATCAAACAATATTCATCCAAATAAAGTTCTTTTTTTTATCATGAGTAAATTCACAATCAAATTGAGTTTAAAACCTGTATACACATTAGTATCGTGCAAAATATGTACAAATAAAATGACGATATATTTCTATACTACAGAAACTCACTATCATTTCAATCTATCGTCTATTAAGACTTCAAACGTTATGATATCGATGTCAGACAGATAAAAATCTGTTCAAAAAAATGATTGATCATAAATATACCAAGAATATGTTGTATTGTTGAATTACTTGAAACAATTTGTTTACGTATAAAACTGATTTGTAAAATCATATTATTAATAAATATTATATCTACTTGTATAAAAAATATTATTGGTGTTATGTGACTATTTGAAAATGAATAATAATCTTAATATAAAGTTGTATGTCTTATAAATATATATATATGAATTTTATTGTAGAACTGGATTGATAATTTTGACTTCTCATACCTTATTAATTTATTATATTGTTTGTTTACCATTAATAAAACTTTAACTTACAGCTTCATGCTTGTATATAGGTTAAAAACGATCGAATAGTCACTCTCTCTTTATTTTGTCTACACCAATCGTTGAATTTACTGCCCCTGAGTCTTTAATGATACTATGTTAATCCTACGCGATAGGCAAGATGAAAATACTAAGTATGTTTACATCTATGAAAAAATATCGAAAATTTTTGTTTTTAGCACAATGTTACCTACGTTTTTTGACACAATGAAAGAAAACGGTTAAGATAAATGATGAAGGACGAAAAGTCAGTGATGCAAATAGTATTCAATCATTCCTCATAATAATACATATAGACGCACAATACATTGTACCTCTCTTAGTAATTTATATTTGAAAAGAAAAAGGAGAATATGGATGATAAGGAACCACTATTAAAGAAACATAACAAATTACTTAATGATAATGATAGCGACAATGAAAATAAAAGGTATGATTTAAAAAAAAAATATAATATTGATAAACACATAAGAACTCATCATTATTTATAGTTCTTTTGATTGGCGTCAATATTTCAATCGGCAAAAGACTAATGCTAGGAATAAAAAGTTAGACGATGAGAACAAACAAACAAATAAAGATATTCCAATTAGTATTTTTCAATTGGTAAGTATATTCTAACAAAAAATATACTAAGTTGACAGCATGTTGTTTTTCTTTTAATATATATATATATATATATATATATGAATTAATGCATTTCATTTAATGATAGTTTCGATTTGCTGATCGTATTGATGTTCTTCTTATAATTACTGCTCTGTGTCTCATAGTGGGACATATAGTTTGTATTCTTGCCAACATAATTCTTTTTGGTCGAATCACGGGATTATTTGCTACTACATCATTTGCTGTTGATTGTAATAATCAAAATTTAACATCTACAATTATCAATAATACTGTATGTCCTCCTGGTGTTGATCTTAATCCATTAAATTATGATCGATTACATAAGTAATTGAATAAAAAATATTTTTATTTTTAATCTTTTCAAATTTTTCATTTGTAGATTATGTCATTATGATAATAAAATGATTTCATCGACATCATCTCCATTAACACCTTTATTTCGAGAAAATGTTATGCATCTAGTTTATTTGTTCTTCGGTAAGTCTATTGAATATGATGATTAAAATTATAAAAAAAAACAAACGATTTGTTGTTACTCTGTATCAATGTAGGTTTTAGTCTTCTTATGCTTGTATGTGGTTTTCTTGAACGTATCTGTTGGACAACTGCTACGAAACGACAGACATCTCGCATGAGTGTTTTACTCTTTCAATCACTTATTCAACGTGTAAGTAAAAATATTTTTTTACATTCATGAAATACTTTGTAGTTCGTGATCATAGATCCAAATTGAATAGTATCGAATTTCTATTAGATGGTTTAAATTCAGTGTAGATCTGCATTGTAAATGTTTGTATATCTTCAAAGACGGTTATTCATTGACGAGTAACTAAAATAAGTGACTATCAACGATTAAACTAGTTAAAATACAGTTTATTCTATTTATTTCTCTTGCTTCAAGTCAAACATAAAACAAAATTAAGTAGATCATTTTGATCTCGATTTATGATTCAAGATAAAATAATGTGTTATTTCTCTTTCATTTTTTAGAACATGACTTACTTCGATACAAACCAAACTACTCAATACAATTCGAAACTTTTTACGTAAGTAAAAATAATAATTTCATAACAAACAATTATATATGATCGATTTTCTTTACAGTAATATTGAAAAGATCAAAAATGGAATAGGTTTTGAATTCGTAATGGTAATTGCACTTATTACAGGTATGATTTTCAGTATAATCATATGTTTTATTCTTAATTGGAAACTGTCTTTAATTATGTCTTGTATAATTCCAATTGTTGTCGGTATTTCATTGATGTTTGCTAAGGTATAAATTATTATTTATTTCGTTAAATTTTTATTAATAATTACAGTTCGTGGCTAAAGAAACACAAGAACAATTAAGTACGTATTCGAAAGCTGGACAAATCGCTCAAGAAGTATTTAGTTCATTAAGAACGGTTCTTTCATTCAATGGAAGCAAATTGGAACAAAAACAGTAAATAAATAAATATAGAATTATAGAATTATTGTATTATTTATTATATGTAGATATGACAAAGAATTACAAATAAATGAATGGTGTACTGTTCGCAAAGATGCTGCATATGGTGTTTTATTTGGTTGGTTTTTTTTTATATCCTTTATAGTTTATTCAATTGGTTTCACTTTTGGTTCCATTCTTATCTCTTATACCACTCATCATACACTGAACGTCAGTGAGATAATTATTGTAAATAAGCTTTGACATCAATATGCAAGAAAGTAATTGAAAAACGAACTTTCGTTTAGGTTGTCAATATGTTTGCACACACCTTAACTTATCTTAATTCAATTGGTCCTTTCTTCCAATCGATTTCGGAAGCTCAAGGTGCAGCAGTATCCGTCTTTCGACTTATTGATGAAGTAGAATACATTGAATACTATAGCAGCTAAATCTTGATAACAATATTTTCTATTTTATTTTATGATATAGGTACATGATGAAAATCTGAATGAAAAAGAAATATTGGAAGAGAATATATCTGATGAAAACTCGATTTCTGATATCAATGGTGATATTGAATTTGACAATGTTAGTTTTTCTTATCCATCAAGAGAAAATGCAACAGCTTTGAATAATCTTAAGTTAACTGCTCGTGCTAATCAAACAACTGCTCTTGTAGGTTCAAGTGGCTGTGGTAAATCTTTTTCTCTAAAATAAACATAACATTTTAATATTGTAATTTATTGTGATAGGAAAAAGTACATGTGTATCACTTCTTCTTCGTTACTACGAACCTTCTTCAGGCAGAATTATGATTGGTGGTCAATCACTTACAGATTATAAAATCAAAC